GAATGCAAATGAATAATAGACAACATTTAGGTAATCAATCCAACACTGAATCATCTCAACAAAACAATAGAATGCAAAAAGCAGGTGGAATGAAAAAATCAAGACAACAAGGTAACATGCAAAGAGGAATGAATAGAAGATCAAAGCACCAACAAAATGGTCAACTCAATAATCAACAACAACAAGAAACTAATCAACAACCAACTAGTAGCTCAACAACAACTGATCAAACTATTCAAACACTTGTTGATTTGAGAAATATCAATTAAACAATTTTTGTGAGAATTAAGTTATTTTAATTAAAAGAAGAATCAATCTTAAAAAATTCCCAAACTGTCATATCTTTAGTATTCATAACTTGTACATTTTCCTTATTTTTTAAATTATCAACTAATTTTGAATATAATTTACTAAAATGTATAGAAATACGTCCACCCATTGAAAATCCAATTTAGTAATCTTTTTTCAAATTATATTTAATAAATTTAATTAAATAATTAAATAATTTTTTTTAAAGATTGTAAATTTTTATAAATTATAGCTACGAATAAAATGAAAATGAATTGATTATTTGAAAATATCATTTAATTGTTTTAACAATGAATAAAAGTATTTTTATTTAATCAAAGAAACTATCAGCACTTTGTTGATTATTTGTATTATTATTATTAGCAGTGGTAGTAATAGTACTAGTTGTAGTAGTATTTTGATATTCAACAGGGAAATCATCATCTTCATTTGTATCTAATGAATATTGTGGTTGATTATTTGATGAATTATTATTATCATTAGACCACATTGAATCATCTTGTTCAAGTGAAGTAATTGGTTGTTGCTTATTCTTATTTGGAAGTGGTGGTAATGATTTGTTTGTTTGTGTATTATTATAATAGGAATCTTCACTTGAATTATATTGATTATATTGATTATTATATGATGTAGAATTAATTGAATTATTAGAATGATTAAATGTAGAGCTATTAGAATTATTAGATGAAACCTTTTGTTTAAAAAAAGAAGTCATTGCAGACCAATTCTTTGCAACAGCTTCACCTGCCTTTGATAAATTTTCTTCAATTTTCATATCTTTAATTTTAGCAGTGAATTGAGTTTTTTGATCTTGTTGTTTAATCTTTTCATTTAAATCTTTACCTAATTCTTTTGCTCTTGATTTAATATATGAGAAATATTGTTGTGTTTGTGTATTTAATTGTTCAGCTCTTTGTGAAACTGTTTGTAAATTAAATGATTCTCTAATTGGTATAAATGTTAATTTTACATTTTCAACATTTTCATTCATTTGTTTAGCAAATTTAATCCATTGATCTTTACTATAATTTAATGAATATTGTACTTTTTTAGAAATATCATTCTCTTGATCTAATTTAATAGCTTTACTTTTTAATTGTTCAAATATTAATTTAGATTGAATAAAACCTTCTTGAAATAATCCTTGAATAGCTAATTGTGATGAAGGTGTTTCAAATGTTTCATATTGTTGTTGATGTTGTTGTGAATTATTTAATGGTACTTGATTAGGTGATGATTTTTTTCTTGGAATTCCAAGTAAATCACACAAATTAAAAATATATAATTGTGTCTTTTCATTTAATTTCATTTCATTTAATAATAATGAAGTAGAGAATGATTCATTATTTTCTAAACATACAACTGCTCCATTTAAATCATCTACCATTATAATCTTTTCAACACTACCACAAAATGAAAAGAAATTTGATAATTCTTGTACTGATAATGTTTCAATAGGTGTATTAATACTAACAAATACTGCTCTATGAATTTGATCCAATGTAAGTGCA